TCTTTTAATTCTCCTGGAAAGATAGCCAGCAGAGGGATGGCTGGGTCAAATGGAACCTCTAGTCCTAGTTCTTTGAGGTATCTCCATATTGATTTCCACAGTGGTTGCACCAGTCTGCACTCCCACCAACAATGGAGAAGGGTTCCTTTCTCCCCACAGGCCCACCAGCATTTGCTATTGGTTGACTTCTGGATAGCAGCCATTATTTCTGGGGTGAGGTGGAATCTCAGTGTTGTTTTCATCTTCATCTCTCAAATGACCAGTGATATGGAACATTTTTTCATATATTTATTTGCCACTTTTACTTCTTTGAGAAATGTCTGTTCATTTCAGATGCCCATTTTTGAGTTGGGTCTTTATATTTGAGGGGCCTGATTTTTTTGAGTTCTTTATATATTCTAGCAATAAAGTTTCATAAAAGATAAATTATTGAAGCTTAGCATTTCTCGGCTGCAGTACCAATCCACTCCTTGTGTAATATCCATGGAGACTTGAATACATGGAAGCTGGGCTGTACGTGCAAGCAGTGTAAACCAGTAAGAAACTCATGATGCTTGCAAAAATAGATAAATTAGTCCTTAGTCCATTTTCTGTTGTTGTAACAGAATACCTCAGACTAGGTAGTTAACAAAGAAGTTTATTTAGCTCACAGTTCTGGAGGCTGGAAAGCCCCAACAGCACAGCGGCATGTGTCGCAAGGAAGGGACTTTGTGCTGTGTAACACTGCAGGAGGTGAAAGGGAAAATGAGCTCATGCAAGAGAAAACCCAAGAGGCAGACTCACTTCTACAGCAAATTACTTCTGTGATAAGCAACACACCCTGGGACAATGGCATTAGTCCACTTCGGAGGGCGCTGCCCTCATAGCCCAATCACCTCTCATTAGACCTCACTCTCCACACTGCAGCCTTGAGGATCAAGCTTCCAACACATCAGTCTGGGGGACACATCTGAAGTACAGCAACCTTCAGATTAAAGCAGGGCAAAATCTCACTCTTCGTCATTAGAGACATAGAGACACAACAAAGAAAAAAGAAGAGAATGTTATTAGAGCAATTGGGGTGGGGGAACAGCATTAGCATCCACAAGGGTCCCTCAGAACAAGAGGAATCTTATGATGTAACACACTTTTGATTTAAAACAGAACACCTAGCTGGGCGTGGTGGCGTGTGCCTGCCATCCCAGCACTCAGGAGGCTAGGCAAGAAGACTGGTGTGAGTTCAAGGCCAGCTAGGGCTACACAGCAAGACCGTCTCAAAAAACCTAAACCCAAACCCAACAATTACAACAAAGCACTTACTGGGATTATAGATATCTGCTTTTGTGTCTGACATGATACAAAGTGGGGGAAACTGGGAACACGCTAGGATGAGTAGAACTTGTGGGGGATGAGTGAAACAGTGGGGTGAGACTGGAACCCATCCCCGTTTCTTACCCATTATTCCAGCAGAGACATGGGACTGTCCTGCAGAAGCTGGCATCCTCTGTCACCCCGCCACACACACCTGGCCCAGAAATGAGAGACATGGAAGTACTAGAGCAGACTCTGTACTCCTCTGGGGCTGGTTACTGTTCCATAGTCCAAAGTGAGCCAATGAGTGACCAACAGTGCCTTGCTTGGACCTTCTAATTACAGAAATAAATCTAGGCCTGGCTGCTAGTTTACTTCTGCCTTCTAAATCTTATCAAATATTTGAGAACCACCCTGCCCTGGACTTCTGGGGAACATATCTCCAGCTTGATTGAATTGGCACCAGGTAAACCCACCAGAAGGTCTGAGAACTCTGACAGACATGAGCTAGAAGTTAAAGGCTACTACTTGACTGTGCAACTGTATCAAGATCTGGCCATATGCCAGCCAGAGGAAATGCTAATGCCAAGGCAGTGATACAAGCTGGGTGTTTTCTTTGAAAAAGAAAGGACAATGAAGCTAGGGTATGATGGGAGGAAGAATGACACAAAATAAGATCACACAGAGGCAGGTACTAGATCCCATGAGGCCTTGCACAGCGTGTGTAGTCATGTGAGCATTTCTGTCTTATAAATTCAACAGGAGGCCAAGTGCAGTTTTTCTCAGGGCCGTAATAGTTGGATCTGATTTATACATTTTTAAAACTTTGCATTTGGAAATAATTTCAAACTTACAAAAAAGCTCTAAGATCAGCACACACACAAAAAAAATCCTGTATGCACATCAGGTGGATTTGCTTTAAGACTGTTTTGGCTGCAAGATGAATAGCACCCAGGGACAGGACTGCTTCTTCCTGCACTCCCGAGCCTTTTGGTGCTCTTAGCACACAGGGTGCATGATGTCCCACAGCCCTGCAGAATGCTGGCCAGTGCAGAAGCTGCAATGTCACCTAGAGAGCCACTGCAGGAGTCCCAGCCACAGAGCTTCCACACTAGTTTTCAGACCACACTGGAAAATCAATCTCGTTATTTTAGTGTCAGTGCAGAAATTTATGTTGAAAGATAAAACAATCATTACCTCTGTAGATCTGGCTTCCAACGGACTATTGCTAGCATCAATTCTCAAAACAAAAACAAAATCTTCACCTATGTGACACAGAAGCTATGTAAGAGAATGTCTCCCAAATAAATTCTAGGTTTCCAAAGAATTTCCAGAAACTGTGCAGTCTCCCAGGGGCATCTGCTGAAGGGGTCCACACTCAGGTTGATGTACAGTTTCTAGTCTCACCAGAGTTGACCTGAGACTATCTTCTATTTTCATCAGACTTTGCTTGCTTTACTTGACACCATAAAAATTTCCCTAAAGCACACTCTTCTGCCTGGATTAATTGTCCCTGCTGGCAATACTGTCTGGCTGAAAGCCAGGTTTAAATGCTGAAATGTGCCAAGTTCTTAAAGACATTCAAGTTCACTTAGGATTTCAGCACAATTCCAAGTTTAATGTTAAAATCAACTGCTAAAATTAATTATTGAGAGCTATTCATTCTAAAAACATATATACCTAGTACATGTTCATTAAGTCATGAAGGTAAAGTAGAAAAACTATGTTTGGGTGACCTCAGGGGAAATATTTCTTTCCTCTACTTAGTTAAAATAGGCTTGGTTATTACAATAGAGTATAGTCATAATGAGGGTAAAAGGGCTGGTGTATACTAGGCATGCATATCATTATACATGGAAAAAAAAAAAAAAACACAAAAAAACAACTTCACATTTTCTTAAGGGAAGAAATGCTTCTAAAAAAAGAGGTGGAGAATCCTGGAAGACCATTCATCTTAAGGAAAAAAAGTGTGAAAACAGATTTTTAAAAAAGTATCTGACAGAGGAAGAAAAGTAGTTTGTTCTTTAATCAGGTTTTACACTATACACATTCTTCTGTAATCTGCAGTGATAAATATCCATGTAAACATTCAGAAAGAAAAAAGATACTGTCACGACTTATGCACTAAGTTTTGTTCCTGATTGCCAAAGATAGTTTTATGTATTTATTAATAATTTTTTTCCTTTATTTCACAATGGCTTTTCAATAACAAAATAAATTACTGGCAATTTCAACCATACATTAAAAAAAATCAGCTTAGAAAAACCTGTTAAGGTTTAATAAGTGAAAACACTATTTTTTGATTATATTTACTATATGTGTAAAGTGACAAAGCTCATTCCTTTCCCATTGCTGCAAGTTCACAAAATTTATGAAAAGGCTATTTTTCTTAGCGAATTGACAGCAACTCAGTTGAACACAACAGACAGTAACAGGTATTGCTTGTGAGACACAGTAAAATAAAGTTTATGACCACTCACCAGATGCTACAAACCTAAGATATACCTCGAACTTTCTAGTCTTAACCTGCAGCTTTTGTTTAATAAATGCTAAAGAACTATTAGATGACTTCAACAGCAGGCTGACCTGTTCCTTTGCCATTTTGCTAGTCACAGACACACACAGTCTACCTTTAAGTGACAAAGAATACTCTTCATTTCCTACAAGTCTACATGCTAGGGAAAAAACAAAAACAGGTATTTTTAAGTTGAAATACATTAACTATCTAATGAAAAGGCTTAATTACCAGATCATTGCACCATTTCTTCATTAAAAATGGAGTAAGCAGATAAAAAGTATGTTTTAAATAAACCAGAGGTAAAAACAAAAAGGCTGGAACAACTTGACAAACAGCAACAGAGTAATTTCAAATCAGTAAGTATTAATTGGACTACTCATTTTATACAATAGGTACTGACAAGCACATAGCAATCTTTAATCAGTCACTTGATAAGAACATTTTTAAACTAGCATATTCAATATAGGGGCATCACTCACTCTCTCTCTCTCTCTCACACACACACACACACACACACACAAATATGGCTTTATTACAAAGGATTCAAGATGGCAACTACTTAGAATCCAGTGCCAACATGGATTATAACAAATCTGGTGAGTATTTTGTTTTTCAATTATTCATAGAAAATTTAATCCTGATTAAGTATCCTTGGGCAGGAATTCATGGGTAGTTGATGACTGAAACCAACATTTATGTGAAATGCTTCTGTTAATTTAATCTGTGTATACGGCTTAATTATGATTGGGATTCAATGTAAGAGAAATGAATTATATCAGGATTAAAAATTTTAGCAGCATATCACATAGTACCTTTTCCTTCTTTCCTTTTAAACATAAATCTGCTTGTCCCTTCACCTAAGTGCTCAGATTTTAAAATCCTTTTGTCCTTATAACACTTGTAATGTACCTGTTTTATTTTTCATAAATTATTTGTCAAAAATCCTTTGCTAGTCAAGCTGAAACCTGAACTAAAGCCAAACATAAAAGAAAAAAATCGGAGAATAATCTCACTCACAAATAAAACCTTATTCATCTAATTGGGAACATTTTATATTCATTTCCTGAAGTAATTTTATTTTCTGTTCTTTTAAATTCTAATATGAAATGCATTTCTTTTAAAAAATCAAAAAGAAGCAGTTTTTAAAATCAGTGTATTATACTGATTTCATAACTGAACTAGTTTAGATATGTATAAGCAAGTAATCATTTAACTGATTACTTTTTAAGACTATCAAACCTGAGTTAGCTATGGATATGAGGCATAATAAGTAGTGAACATCCCACCAAAGTGTCATGTAACTCTTTTTCAATTTATTTCCATATGGAAAATCTGTCAATCTCCTTATAACACCATTCCTTCTTAAAAGTTTATTGTGTAAGTATATTTCAAAACATTTCATTTACTATCTTTTCTAAGTTTTGGTACTGCTTAAATGCAGTTACATAAGTAACATGCTTTACTTTTACTAGTGGGTTTTTCATACCAAATGTATGAAAAAAGAGTCACTGTGTTTGGATCCTTATTGCACTCTTTTAACCAATTCACTTTTTCTTTCAACGACAGCCAAGTATCAGAAGTGAGGTCGACTTTTGTGTACAGATGATATGGTCAGTGGCAGGGTTACTGAGGAAAGCGAAGAAACTTCCCAGTATAGGCTGTGGGATAAGAAGAGTCTGTAGAGAATAACCATGGACGCAGACTGGCAAAGGATAACTCCTACTGTAATAACCTGCAAAGAAAAAGAATGCTTTGACTGCATGCTGAAACACAGAATTTATATTCAATTTATCATGAACTCATACATACTTTTTATATACAGTACTCTATCCTTCATCTTTATTCCGAGTACATTTTACCAAAGAAATACTCTACAATAAAATGTGGCTTACGTTCAGAAATGTAACTGTTCAAGGGTAAACTTCCTTGTACACATGGTTTATAGACAACAAAGTAAGCCATGAAATAATTTACTAAAGCATTCTCTACTAAAGATGTACACACTTTAGACAGGAGTTTCAGGTTCCAGGAAGATGAAAAAGCGTGCCCTCTACCCAAATGTTAGAATACTCTAAAAGCCCTTGAAAAATGCTAAAGGCACTTTTCTATTTCGGTATACTGTCTTCCTACTTATTTACCCTATGTAAATACTTCAGCCTGAGTAAGCAGTTGTGTATTCCAGCACATACGGCACTGCCTGGAAAGGGCTTTGGCAGAACTCCACTTTGAGACGATGGAGTCACTCATCTAAGAACGCAGATTCAAAATTCAGCTTACGTGAGCTGTGACAGTTCAGGTCGTAGTCTTGGAAATGACAAGATTGATTTTCACGAACCCATCTTGATTTTACCATTATGTAGCAAAAATTTTTAATCATTTTTTTTCCTAACAAAGATGTGTTATAAATTTTATAATTTGGGGCTGGGGATGCAGCTCAGCTGCAGAGCACTTGCCTGACATGCACAAGGCCAAGTTTAATCCCCAGCGCTGCAAAAAAAACCCCCCTGTAATTTATAGAACATCATTCTGAAATAGGCTAACGTAGGGACAAAAGCTGTTTGTATCATCTTGCTTGTAGATTAAATTTAAGAAAAATTTATTCTGTACTTTGAAATTCTAATGTTCACTGGTTAAATAGGCTATTTCAAAGTTTTATTTTAAAGAACTCAAGAAACTTCTGAATGGATAAACAGGCCCCTCCTACCTTAATATTTTTTCAACAAAGACTATACTGTCATTTAGGAAAGTATTTTGATCATGCATGACATATATCATTCCTTACCTTATCTCTTTGGTAGTCACTAAAAATGACAGAAATGCATGCTAGACCTGGGTGGCATAAAAACCATAAGATACAGCCCTGAAACAAATGAATAATAAGTCAAACAAAGCATGGCTATGTCTCTACTTTATTTTTTTTGAGGCAGGGTCTCACTACATAGTTGAGACTGACCTGGAACTCACTATGTAGCCCAGGCTGGTCTTGAACTCACAGTGATCCTCCTGCCTCAGCCTCCCAAGTGCTATGTCTCTACTTTTAAAATGTACCAAATAATATCACCACTCGTGTATTTAGGTTCTGATTGGAATCAGATGGCCTTGAGAACAGAGCTTGCAATAAAACAGAGAAATAAATTTACTCTTGCTATGATTTAATGCTTCGTTTCTAATCGAATGAGTATTTTTGGAATCATTTATAACCTTGTATTTGTAATGCTGTTACATAAGCATATTTTGATATAAATACATTAATATAAAAAATTGAGAAAAGCAAGGTATACATTTATCTCTTTAAAAATGCAGATATGCAAAGAAATTCTGTAAAAATACAAAAAAAAACTTGATTAAAGGTGGTTTGCTGTTTGAGGGACAGTATGGAAGGGAAACTAGACAAGTAAAAATGGGAAACTGTTTATATTTTTCAAATACCTTTTCCTATTTCCCCTTGAACAGTGGCAACATATTCTCTTTTCTAAAATTAAATATGCAACAAATCAATAAATAGTAGCTGGTGTGATATTTAGGATATACTGAAAATTTAGGGGCAAAAAAAAAAAGAAAGATGTAGAAAAAAGTGTTTGGAATATTATTCCTTACATTAAAACGGAGGGAACTATACATAAGAATATGTATTAAAAATTCTCTAGGAGATGGGTGTGGTGGTGGACGCCCATAATCCCAGCACTCAGGAGGCTGAAGCAAGAGCAGCATCATGAGTTCAAGGCTAGTTTAAACTACATAACGAGACCCTGTCTCAAAAAACGAACAACAAATGAAGAAATTCTAGGAAAATAAATTAGGTACTGATATCAGAAATTACATGAGGAGGTGACAATGGTAAGTGAGTAGACGGGAGTAAGGTAAGATGTGCCCTTTGCTGCTCTTTAAATACTTCTGGATGTTTGACCCATTCAAAAAGTTAAATTTAAAACAGAATTTTTAAGGAAAAGCATTTGGGACTGTTTCAAATGCAAAACAAAAGAGGATAAACCTAATGCCTAAAAGCCTCCACCATACACTAACCAACCAAAGAGTACTTTGTCAGCCAGTGAAAAGTTCAAAAGCAAAGTGGCCCTTGCTCGTCCATTTGGTACTTTGAGCCTGAAACTGCTTCCCAGGGCTGCAGCAGCAGCAGCTTTGCAGAGCTCACACTGGGAGTCAGGAGGGAGTCTGGTCCTCCTGCATGGCTGCCTCACAGTGCTGGGACAGATGCCGTGGGCCAGGCCCGGCGCCCGACAGCGTTCGGTGCTGGTGTGAGCTGCCAATGTGAAGAAGGGGCGCCGACTCTCTCCACCTGACAGAAAAACGGAACCTTCAGGGAGGGAGATTTCTGTAAGCTACTGCTCCAGTCCCTGACCTGGTCCTTCTCTTGGACTAAATGGGTACAAAAAGAAGTGAATCTGCTTTTAGATCTCTCAGCCGTAAGAAGGGCATGGACGGGGGAATAAAGTGGACATGACCTCAGACGGGCAAAGGGGCTGCAACATGAAGGTCCTCAGCCTCCTGGCTTCCCTCATTTATGCTGAGAACTGGCTTCTCACACGCTGCTGGAACACTGCGTAACGCCGAGAGCAGCAGTTCATTGTTAGCTCTTCAGAAACTGCAGGCCATATTGTAATTTATTAAAACATTTTACAAATATTCCAATACCACAGAAAAAGTACAAAAATCCCTATTGACGAAGAAACTACAGTGGAGGCAAAAATTGGCCTACCAAAGATTACCTGGAAAATTCGTGTTCTATAAAATGGGGGTTCTGTAAAATGGGGCTAATAACATCTACATTACGCAGGCTGGAAGATGAAATGAGAAGAGGAATTGAAGGGTGCAGAGTGGTGCAGACATGCTCGAAGCCAGGCACAGTGGTGTACACTGCAATCCCAGCACTCGGGCACACAATGAAAAGTTTAAGACAGCTTAGCATGTAGTTCTTTATGACACCCACAGAAATCCGAAAGCAATCAATAATCAGAAGAAGCCACTGTCGACCCCCGACTCATACTTTGGCGAATGTGATGTAGAACTCCCTTTTGAGGGTGCTTCTCTCCACTGTGATGATCTGATAGAGTCCAAAGCCTAATGACAGTGCCAGGCAAATTCTTAAAACGATTAGAAGGATCCCTGCTAGGTTGTGGTGTGAATGGGAGCTATGATGACTGGTATCTTCAAACTGCTCCCAAAGTAGCAAAATACTCTGCAAAACAATATTACATTTAGAGAGAAAAATGATAAGTATTTACCAGAGTAGTTTTTCAACTCTTGTAAACATTCCCTTAAGCATTATATAACATATATAAACATTACGTAAGTATTCCTAAGAGACTAAGATTTATCAGACTAATAAAGCCCATAGTAAAGCACAGGCAGTCTTTCCTTTCTCTAACAAGCTTAAGCTATGGAGAAAGAGGATATTTATCAAATGAGACACAGTTTAAAAACAAGAAAAAAACAAAAAGATTCTAGTGCTGCAATGATTCAAATACATCTCTAAGGATCCCATAGAAATGTTTGAGAATATATGTAAACTTTCTTCTAAATGCATTTCCTTCCTTCAATACCATCAGTACAAATCAAACCGTTCCGCATTCCAGCCTACTATCTCAAGTACCTTTTTTTTTGGGGGGGGGGTACCAGGGATCAAACTCAGGTCCTTGCGCTTGCAAGGCAGGCAGCGGAACCACTGAGCTAAATCCCTTTTAAGTACCTTTAAATATCTCAAAATATGTTGTAATCCAGAAGTTAACAAGTCAAGTAAGAATTGTTAATTTTAGATTTCACTCCCCCATGATTAATCTTCTCATAGTTGCTATGAAAGGTAAAGAAAAGTACATCTTGAAAAATATTCACCATAAGCACTAGAGCACTGTTATACATCCTTCGTCTGCTGACCTTTTCTCCCTATCGTGACTGCAACAGTAAAGAGCTCAGCAAGTTCTTGTTATGCTATTCCCTTTAATTCTATTCAATACAAATCAGAGTCCGTTGTTCCTCTGCCCATACTGAACATTAAATCACTATAATGTTTTCATGATCAAATATGCCCTTGGGCTTCCTTTACTTGTCAACTCATCTCTCAGAAACGACTTGTTGGTGAACCCGAAGCACTTCAGATAAAAACTCGGTATTAAATCCAATTCTTAGCTTTTGTGGGGCTTCTAAGAAACTTTTTCCTGTCCTCACTTTCTGTTTTTCTATTTCTATCCCAATCTTACTCCAAGAATATTCCTAATAGGTGAACTTCTCTGTCATCCTGCACCTGTGAAAAGTCCTTTTTGGGCCTGATATTTGCTATTAGTACTGTTACTGTTATCTGAGTCCTTAATCTACATTTCTAAACTTAACTTTTACAATAAAGGAGTATAATTATAAAGCTACCATTTCCTAGGGTTCACATGTTTTTATACCCGAATTCCCGATTTTCATACACATATGATAATATGTGACTATTTCTGTAAGGATCTATGTGATCTTTGGTTACTTGTCTCATCAGTCTTGTTTGGCTACTGTCAAGCAGGACTATGTCGAATGCATTTTTAATAAATGCCCACTTAAGCTCTAGTGCAGTGTCAAAGTCTTAATTTTCAATCTGTATTTGTCTATGTTAATAAAGTAAAATTATAATAAAATGATAATAAAAACAAGTTTTAAAAGAGCTATAAATTGAGAAATGAAAATTTAACCTGATATTAACACTACTCTTCAGAAGTCCTGCATCAAAAATATTAAGTTGGTTAGAGTCTTGCTCATGGTTTAATCACTTCTAATTCTTTCTCATTAGCTCCCTTCCTGGAACTATGTTTCTAACCATCACCCCCCAGAATATGGTGTCTTTCTTTAATCAATCATGGAAATTCAATATGCTTACTTCACATAGCACCTACCATGCTAAACAAATACTATAGTTACAGATGAATACAGCACAGGACCCACCCTTCAATCCTGAATTTTTCAATTTATTTAATGCGCTAAAATTTACATTATAATGTCCTTTACTGAAGCTAGGAGCATAGCTCATTATCATCTCACAGACTTGATGTGAATTTTTTACAGCTTTCTGGTGAATTTTTAAACCCACTGCGCATAGGCATATGGCTATTGTAGAATAATGGCAATGTTACCAATCTAGAGGAAAACATATAGTAATTTTTTCTAGTATCCAGTTCTGTTTTTGTATTTGTTTCGAAAAGCAGGATTTCATTCTTTCTTATTCCATAGTTTGCCTTTTAATTAATCTCAGATAGTCAGCTGAATACTTTTCTGTATAAAGTAGTCAGTTCTAAAGAGTCTTGTCAATGGATGAAATCTCACATTTCCTGATTCACTCATTCAATGCTGAATACTTACCATGTGACAGAAAATACGAAATAAAATTAGTAGGTGGGAAATACTGTGCTTTTAAAAACTGGCAGGAAGCTCAGTCAGGTAAACTGCAATTGTATTTTATACATATATATTTTAAAACACACACACACACACACACACACACACACACACAATTTTAGTACCCAGAAGATTCACAGAATATTTGTTCAATCATTCTGTAATTTAAATCCATTACTTCAAAATGACACAAATTCTTCATGAATCCCAGGTTATAATTTCGAAATCAGATACCATCGAGACTGCATTTCTAAAGGTTGTTAGAAGCAAAAACTGAGTATGCACACTCACCTGGGTTATGACAATGAACACTGCAATGCTGGTGGATGTAGGCGTGGAGTCCCACTGGAGAGGTCTGCTTTGGGACTTTTTCATTCTAACTATGGTCCACCCCATGCACAGGCTCAGGAGTAGATATAACATCTGGATTTGGGAAGCAATATCAAAAACTAAAGGGAAATGAAAAAATCAAAGTTAACCAAGTTTCTACAACACACAGAAGCTGGTACTTTTGTACTGAGATAAGAACAACCCTTTTTTTGGTCACAAAAAGACGGGCATTTGCAAAGGAGAGCTAAGGAAGTTCAGTAAGAGGTATTTTAATTTTAAGTAATTTTAAGGAATTAAAAATTTGCCATATGATTTGTAAACATTTATAAGAAACAGTTAAAACAGTGGCAATACTCCTATTTTAAAATATACAGATGCCCATATCATTTTTCTAAGTCGAATCTTAAAGCTTTTCATGTTTCCCATTTTTCTCAGCTTTTATAATTGTACACATAAACCTGATCAAAATAAACAAATTTTAAATATCATTTCTGCAAAGTGGAAAATTTGAGTACCTTCATTTCTGGGTTGTTAGGATTATTTTTGATGGCTGAAGTATAATATGAAGAGAATGCTCTAGAACTATTAATAAGAAACACTATGACCATGAAGTGTACAGTCGCAGTAACATCCAATTACTCTGGCTTTGGTTTCAGAGTCCTGAGGACAAATGAAAAGCTCCATGAACTGGTGCAGTGTGCCACCGTGTGGCTGTCACTTGCACCGCAGGGAAAGCCTGCCACTTTAAAATGGATGCAATCAGACAGCACAAGGAAACAAAAATCTATAAATGCTTCCAGTTCTGGGCATATTTATTATAAACGAGTAATTACTGATTTTTTTTAGAAAGCCATCACTTTCTTATTATAGTAGCTCTTGATTTGGATTTTGGAATAAACTAGTGGCCACAATTTAACTACTGTCACCCATCACTTTGACATTGATTTTTACTTTTCTTTTGGGGGATAGTACTGTGGATTGAAACCAGGGCCTTTACACTTACCTACATCCCCAGCCCTTTTTAAAATTTTGAGGGTATCAGTAAGTCACTACCTTGTTCAAATTGGCAACTCTGCCTCAGCCTGCCGGAGTGTTGGGACTATTGGTGTGCGCCACCATGCCTGGCTGCTCTTTCACTGTTTTATTTAATGTGAGGATGTTCTTGTAGAAATGGAGACAACTAGCCGTAGTGTATAATGCTTATACGTAAAGGCTGCAAGTCAAAAGTCTACTAATGACATTCTTTTTCAGATATATTTTGGCAGATTGTCCTCTGCCTTGCCATCTAAATGAGAACAAGTGACTTAACCTTCCGATAACGAATTGTCACTGTGCTTGAATGATATAAAATGTCAGGGCCTGTCGCATCAAATTCATTTTTCTTTCATCATGGAGTTCTAAATGACTGCTATACCAATTAACTTTATTAAACACCTTACAAATACATAGTTAAAGTGACTGGCCCAAGGAATATTCCTATATAAGCTGCTAAGCATCACAAACAAATACCTTGGGGAAAAGATCTGCAATTTTTCTGGCTCATTTCTTTGTGTACTAAATGATATACAGATCAATATAATACTACTGTACAAATGGACGAGAACACTGTTCATTTATTGTTGATAAAATAAGCTAATTTTAGATAAAACACAGAGATCACATAAAAACTCCATTCCGTCTTGAATTCTGATCACTTAACCAAACCTTTTAGTGTTGGAACTATTAAGTTACCAACATCAATTTAATGCAGTCTTTTAAAAAAAAGAAAAACACTGTTTTTCAGCCTTCAGTAGAATGCCAGACAGTCTAAAATACTGTTTTGTACATAGCTGACATAAACATTCAACAGTCCTTGATTTTAGTAACAGCTTTGCCACTGATTGGCTTTGTGTTCTTTGTGGACATCAATTTCCTCAGCAAAATTTGTAAGCTAAATTACTCTTCAGGTTCAGTCCAGCTTTAGCACTTTGTGTGTTATCCTCCCCTCAAAAAAGAGGGAGTAGAAGGGCTCTAGACAATGTTCAGAAAGCATAAAGCTCCCCTTGTCTATGCCCAGGAGGTGAACCGTACACATCCTCTTCAAAAGCGGGTTAAAAGGCTCTTGAAGTTCCAGAATCTTAAAACAGGTGGCAAGGTGGGGATGAGCAGGCGCTAAGATGATTAATGGCAAGTATGGTAAGATACTAGGAGAGAAATATGAAAATAGAAGAAAAGTAAACCCTAGTGTGGTTTCATATGCAAAATCTGCTTTTTAGAGCAAATCTTAGTTTTTCAGCATTAAGAATGGCATATGAATTAATGTCCCTCTGAAGTTCTCTTTAAGGACTGCAGGACCATTTGGATACTTGTTTTGAAGAATTTAGATGTGTTATGTGCATGTACCAAGTCCCCATCAGGAATGAAATCATTATGTACTCCCAACATGTACTAATAAAAAAAAAATTGAAAAAAATTAAATATTTTTCTACCATGCTTAATTAAAAATTAATTCATAAGCAATTCTCTTATAAATAAAAGAACAAAGGCATGAGAACAGCTCAATTACAGGTGCACAAAAGGCCTTGAGTCAGAAACAGAAACAAACAGTATGAGAAAAAAAGAAAAAAAAACCAGAATTAGCACAGGTCTGAGTTTGGGCTCCTGGCTCAACAGCTGATTGATATTCGGAACCGTGCTTCACCTCACTGAGCCCAGATTCTTTATGTGCAAAATAGGAATAAGCACTTACTTTTTACTGAGGATAAAATGAGAGAATATATACAAATATGCTGTAAAGCACACTCTCTGTTAAGAAGAAACTAAACAGGATACATGAAAGCTAAATCTGCAACTCTGTTTTCAAGAGAGCTGAGTTGTAATCAGCCCTAGGCAGCAAAATTTTAATAAAAAATGTATTTATTCTTTCTCTTTTTGTTGTGATACTGGAGGTCAAACCCAGGGCCTCACACATGGCAGGCAAGCACCTCTTCCACTTAGCTATACCCTCAGCCCAGAATAATGTTAACAAAAGGAAACAAAGAGATGGCAAGTTTACTACAAATAACAACAAAAACCCAAAAATAATGCTCACAAAGATACTCACATTCTGCCAAACTTCCCATAAAAGGTACCCCTATTCCATCTCCGGAGTACCTGGGAAATTGAAGAGTGTGAATTACAAATATGGAAAAAAATTGCTCATAATCAAAGCAAGCATAATTTTGGTGGACTAATTAGGATTAATTAGATGTAATGATGAACACAGTTTTAGTGGTTTTGAGTTACCTGGAGAAATGAATGTAATTAGCTAAAGCTGAACCAGCTTGTAACAGCAATGCAGTTGTCAGAACCTTTAAAATCATGTGCATGGGTCCTCCTTTCTTAATAGCCTGCCACAATGATTGAGCATAAATGCAAGCAATCACAAAGTACACTAGGACTAGGAGGAAAAAGAACTCATGTAACCCTGTGAAGAGAAGAGAGGGAGTTTGCTTCAGTAAAACACCAGATTAGTTTTGGGCTGCTTTCAAATCTGCCTGTCAATATTTTTCTAGAACTTGTTTTTTTTAACTGGAGTCATAGCATTCATTTTATAAGGACAAAAAAGAGGGAAAGTAAATTAACTTTATACTTTGGAACAAAGTTGTAACTAGAATAAAGCAGATTAGGGTGAACTACAGTCAATCTGTAAAAAACCATAGTGAAGGAAGTCGAAAGACTCACCATAAAATCAGTTTTGTTTAAAAATAGCAAATGAAAACAATGACTTCAGCACTCAGTTACATATACTTCTTACCCTCAAGGTGAATTTCCTGCATAAGAAATTCAGAAATGGATTTATTCAGTCAAAAATAGTTTAATATACCTCCACAGTGCTTCTCCAAGTGTGGTCCCTGGGTCAGCAGCCTCCCCAGAGAACCTCTTGTAAATGCAAACTCTTAGATCCACCTTGAATCTACTGAATTAGAAACTCTTGAGGGTGAAGCCCAGCCATCCATGTTAGTAAGCCTGAGGGTGATTCCACTACAACTAACACATGAGGGTCACAGTCCCAGAATGTTCCATGCCTTGGAATTTCCACTTGGACGAAGCTTTAAAACACCTGTCATGCCCAGAGCCCCTTGTGAGTTAAGTTTCTGCAGCTCCTGCCAAAGAAGAAACCCGATGGAGATGGCTGACAGCTCTTCACAGCTGGCTACAACCATGACCCCAAACGGACAGCCACTGAGCGAAGTGGCTAACAACATAATTTGTTTCTTTACAGTAAGCTGGCATGTGATATTCTCTCCTGAGAATTCCAACTATAAAACATGGAAAGGAAGTACATTGTAGAGGTTGAAGCTGAAAGGAACTGATGTTGGGTCAGGACAGAGGAGTCAAACTAGGCCACGATGATATCATGGTTAGTGAAATTATTAGTGAGTTAGCAGAAACTATGAGCAAAAGGGATTGGTTGGCAAAGATGAGTAAGAATGTGCAGATTTTATATTAAAAGTGGTGCCAGTCATCATAGCAACCTCTAGTTCCTACTGGCAGCTCTTCTGCCACCCACATATTTTAAGTTATCTTTTATCACTTATTGTACTTAATATAAATGCTATCTAGATAAGAGATATCCTGGGTTGTTTAGAAAATAATGACTGTATAGAAAAAGTGTGTATATGTCCAATACAATACAGACACATTTTTCCCCCCAAAATATGTTTGATCCATGGTTGGTTGCATCCACAGATGTGGCACTGTGCACAGAGTGCCAATTGTTCTTGGTTACGCTGTGAGAAGTCCTGATGGTCAGGCTTCTGCAGTCTATGTAACACCGCAGTGCTGTTGAGAGGCTGTGAAGAGAGCTGTCTCTATTGAGTCTGGAGCTGAGGAGCCTGAACTGGAGTCACTCCCACTCCTGCTGTGAACACCAGGCTTACTCCAATTTCCCATTTAGGGTAAACTCCAATTAATGAGCACAAATGAGAGTATATCCATTATGTGGAAGACAATTTTGGAAAAGGAATCCAGATGACACAAATCATACGAAAAACAGCTAATAAATAGTTCAACCTCAATCTTTTTTTTATTTTTTCCCATAGTTGGGGGGAAAAGCAGCAAGAAGTTTTTTAGCCACTGGGTGTCTCTCCTGCTCTACCTACATAAATGATGACAGTTCGCTTTTTCATCACAGGTAAAAAGGCCTATTTAGACTTCAAGAAAAGAAGATCAATAACAAGAAAGGTACTTTCTTTTTAAACTTCTTACATAGATGTATATTGCAGCTTTAGAAATACTGAAACAAGACAGAAAATACAAATGCTTACCATATTACAACACCTATGGTTCAGTAAAATTCTTTATGTATGCTGTGTTTTGGATCTTAGTTTTTATTTTCCCTTCTTTGCATTAAAGAATTAAAGCATTCTATTAAAGTTCTTTCTATATAATGCTTTGTAGAATTACAGGATAAAGCATCAGACTCCATTAGGTTACAAATCTACCGTGAAAATTAAATTCTCAATTTACTAAGAAATTACAATAATGCAGGAGACTTTTAAAAATAATATACATACTGCCAGAAAAAATGTTTTAGGATTATGCAATGTTTAATGTATGTTTCAGGAAAAGCTAATATTATAACCAACCAAGAAAATCATTTCATTGAAATAATATGTTAAACAAACTATAAGACAGTCACGCAGAGGACTGTAATATTGATTATGCCCAAGGCAGGCTGTGAAGAGTGAACCCCACAACTGTCCTGTTTACAGAAGTGAGTCTGGCTGAAGCCCACATGCCGAGGTCACACCCAGATTCTGTTTCCACAACTGAAACCTTCAGATTAGAAGGACAATGTTCTAACTATAATCGTATACACTTAGAGGACAGCTTAAGTTACTTCAGCCCTAGCTAAAGGAACAAGGGAGAGGAAAAGAGGGGAGAGAAATGGGAAAGAGTCCTTGGGTTAAGTGGCAGACAGCCCTGCTTCTCCAACATCTCCCTGTCTCAAAATCCCAGGGCCCACTCCTGCTGGGCCCCAGAACCAATCAGAATTTCCAATACCTTGCCAGGAGGAGGTAAACCTACCTCCTGATGGATTTGTCTGCCCTTATCATCTCTCTGACACCTTAACTTACCTTTCTCTGTGAAGTGTACAGCAAGGGTATATGACCCGGTGCTGACAAATGAAATGTGATGATGGGAGGCTTCTGGGACAGATTTCCCTCCTCTCAAAAAGACACACAGACGATTGCCAGTACCTACATGAAATGCCTAGAAGTGCTGCTACAGCTAACTTTGAACTGGAGGGAGCTAAAGACAAAGCCGAGGATCGGAAGGGAAAAGATGCTAAATAATCTCTTTAAGAAACCTTGGAACTTACTGCTTAAGATAGTAATTAATTTCTTTACTGTCTGTACCATTTGCATGAGGATTTTCTGTTACCAAAAGTCAAAAACATCCTAACACGTTACTAGCAACATGCTACCAGTGCTAAATGGGATGGCCAACCTGTTACCTTTCAGAACATGGAGGGAAAAAGGGAAACAGAAAAAAATCATGAACGTATCTGCTGGAATAAAAAATAGTAAGACCACAAAAACAGCAGAGCTGTAATATTCCAATGAAAGCCAGTACACCTGCTTTGGGTCGTACTGCTCTCGGGTTTCTGGATACTCCTTTTGGTTTCTAACACGAGCACAAATACAGCTGGCAAGGATTTTAATCTTTTTAAGAAACAGTTCCATTTTATTCTACCTTTAAAGCATTATATTCATATTTAGTACTTTGTCAAGTGTTATAAAATCTGCCTTAGTTTGTTTTATAAAACTAGGACTACTGTGTAAAGTTAGGAATTTAAAACTCTAGAAAATATAAAATACATTAGTTGGCTTGAAAGAAAACAAATTATAAAATTTAACCACAGTAATATGTAACATTAATCGTGGCCACGTGCAGATTATTTTAATTCAAACTTTGTACAAATGTGGTAATAGTTCTTAGTAAAAAGCATAGCAAATCCATTTTCCTTACATAGAACAGATAATTAGATAAAATTAGCAAAAGTTGGTAAACCGAATGAATTGGAGATTATCCCCTGGAAACAAATTCCATACCTGAGGGAACAGAATAGGAAGAATCCCTCTCAGGGCTCTACTTTAAATGAATACCTCACTAAATCAATATGGACTGCAGATTTTTAGACAGTGGTTCTATACACGGGAATCAACTTCAGACCTCTGAACCAACATGTGGCTTCCACTCCAAACCAAATTTATTTCAGACTCTGGGGGTAGACACCTGGTTTGTTCATTTGTTTTCTGAATCTCTCTGGATGTATATACAGTAAAGTATTGGGTGTACCATAAACAACCAATTTATTATTCGATGTAGAATTATACACAAAGGCTCTTAGCATTTTAACCAATGAAATAATGTGATCTTTCAGAATTAAGTCAGCCACAAAATAGGGTTGGCTACTTCTGGACACTTCTGGCACTTTTTAATAATCAAGCCCAGAATCTCACAGTTAATGAAAATGCATATTCAGTGAGTTGCTCCTTGGTTAAGCAGCATCAGTGACCTGACCAATGTAACTTTCCCTGTTGTGGAATAAAAAGAGTGCTTGTAGATATCAGAGTAAGCATCAAATCAAAATCAGTGACAAAATCGGGAAAAGGTAGGTTAGAAGAAGAATAAAGAATTAAATGAGAATACATGAATCCTAAAGTTAGCCATAACCCAGGATGTTAAGGAAAACATTAGAAAATAACAGGCAAGAGTGTCCCTAGCAAGGTCCACAGCACAAAAGTGAACACTGTATGGAGTGGAGGTCAAAGTCCAAATGCCAAACTGGGAATGAGGCAGAAATGGGAGCCAGGATAAGGAGGCAAGAAAAAGTGTATCCAGAACCAGAAGAGTCTCAGGAATGTACACAATAAATAAAACACCTCTGGAGTCAAAGGCTGACTGCCTGGAAGGCAGGAGGGAGAAAGGCCAGTAGATCTGGACTCTATGTGTTTAGTGGCTGAAGCACAGTATGACTTCTTGGTGAGCCCAGAACATTGCTAAAAACAAGTGTCACACTGAAAATGGACCTTAAAGGAATTTACTCCAACCATCCATCAAATGCCATCATCAGCAGACCTGGTTTCATCAGTTATCTTTCCAAAATATGAAAAATGTAAACATTTACAATACAGATAAAAGAAATGTGAAGATTAGACTAACTTCCAATAATGACTTAGAATGGTCCAAGGTGTCATTAGTGAAATACAACCTTTAAACTCCTCTGTACTCAAAAATAACTTGAGTTGCTTATACTGTGTAATTTCCTTCACAAAAAGAACTTCTAAAACTATTTAAAAATGTTCAGCCTTCCATCGTTACTCTGTATAAATTTTTTCAAACCAAAAGGTACTTTTCAAAAGTGCTCATTCCTTTATACATACATTATTTGTAACCTGCTATCTAATTATACACGATCTTTGACTTGCTTTTCCCCCAGTGGCAATCATAAGCTTTGAACTAACCAAGTAGTTCAGTCCAGTGAGGCCCCTACCTTCCACCCATCTCCTTTATGGCCAATGAGATGGAATGGAACCGATTTCTCTCTAAACAGATAGACTCTTCCAAATGAACAATAAACTCATAAAGAGGTAAAGCCCAAACTCTTTTTCTTTGAGATGGCCTGCGAAGAGCCTAACAAACCTGCTCTTATTTTTTATAGCAGGTTTATTGTCATAAGAAGTCATTAATTCGGTTGGAGCTAGGACAATAGGGCAGAATGCACTGGTCTAAAATTTTGATAAAACATCTGATGGGAGTAAATCTGGCTTTAGAAAACATTAGACTCTGATCATTCCAAAGTAAACACCAATAAATAAAGGTAAAGTCTATATTTGTTCAGGCAACCTAGTGAAGGGACAGCTCTACAAAGTAGTTCAGTTTCAAATCTCAATCACTGACTTACTAATTTAGATTGTTCAACTTATTATGTTTATTAAATTAATGCTAGGGTATCATAAAAACAAGATTCTGACTCTATAGAAGAAACTAAAAACTACACAACTGTATCATCCAGAATATGCAATCTCCATATATCTTTATTATATTTATCCTATTATATTTTTATTATAAATAAATAAATATGTATATATTTTGGCATAGGGGATTGAACTCGGGATCTTGCGCTTGTGAGGCAGGTGGCAGAACCACTAGCTAAATCCATGGCTCTCTTAATATTTTAATAGTTTATAGTCTCTGCAGTTTTAAGTATACTTGTGGTCATGCAATACAAAATTCAGGGTTCTGCTTTTTAAACTTAATATTATAGGTATTAAAATGCTCTAAAAAGATTCATTTAACTGTTTCCCTATTGTTAAATCTATAGGCTGCTTTTTATAGTTTTTAATATTCTAAAAATACAACATGAAGATATTTGCACATACATCCTCTTAAAAAATTTTTATGATGTATTTAAATACATATTCTTACCAGATTCTCTAGCACTAAAATGGTCCAATGGATTCCCTTCGGCGTCTGGGTTTAGCAACACCATTTCAAATAGGATATCTTCCACCTGAGAAGTCTCCATGTCATCCTTGCATGTGTACTTGTCTGCATAAAATACATGCCACATTTGTGGGGATGGAATCTGGGACACTGTCAGATTGTGTTCAGTCTGGTTCACTGTCACTTTCAAGAGAAAGAAAATAGCACCTTTCAAAGTCAAATTCTGAAATGTATTTATTGTTTTAGTTATATGACCAATTTGGGGTTAGAATTCTTTTTCTTTTCTTTTCTTTGCCTCAGAAATCTAAGCTCTGGTATAGTACTGGAACAGGCATACAAATCGGAAAGGAATTAAATTCAAAATCACTATAAAAATAGTACAAAACACCACAAAGCTGAATAACGTCACTGAAAGTTTCAATTCACTTTTAAATATTTTCAAAGTTCCCAAATGAAACATTTAAAAATTTATTTTACTGTTAAAATATGTACAAGAGTCATCATTTTAACCATTTTTAAGAGAATAATCTGTAGCAGGAAGCACATCTACAATGTCAAGCAACAATTACAATAATGCTTTTCAAGCTGAGTTAATTTAAAAGAGCATATTACAAGATATCTAAAATAAAATATTATCTAAAAATTAGGACAGACAAATGGTTTTAAGATTTCTCTACCAAATCATTCTGTAAAAAGGCATAAAAAGTATAAAAACAGAAATCACAGGGATCCAAAAGTCACACTGAGTTGGGACCACACCAGGAAGGAAAAGCGTCATGAATGTTGGCATCATAAGATCCACTTTAGAACCCTGGCTTTAGTACTGACCTGCTGACCCTGGGGAAGGGACATATGCAAGGATGCTCGCTTTCCTCATTTCTAAATGAGGATAATAGCTACAGCAAAGGACTGAAGTTACATGAGCTAAGTTACAGGAGGCATCTGGCATTGTATCTGTAACAGAGTGGTTGTTAAGTAAACATTAATTCTCTTTCCTTTCTTTAAAACAAACTGATTATAGCTAAGAATATAGTTTCTCTGAAATACTTGGAGGTGTTTAAGAAGAAGTTAACATGTGAACAATAATTGGTTCAAAAATAAGGATTTTGAAATGTGAGGCTTACAAATACACACTCAAGGCCTCGTTATACAAAGGTTCTGCTATGTCACTGTTTTAAAGCTCATTCTTTTTGATAAGACAATACAAAAACTCACCACTGCATTTTTAACTATATAGTTTTTGATGTTTCATTTTAAATTATGTGGATTACATCAAACAGAAACGACACTATGCTTATAAAGCGATACTGGCCTTTAGTTTTCATCTTGCCGTCTTTTTCAACAAGCCTGGGAAGCAAGTCACTTCACAAAACTGTGTGTTCATTGTTTTTGAGACAAAACACTAGAGCACAGCATGTGTAGTCTATGCTGGTGTAATTAGTACCTCAAATGGTAACAAAACCTGAATTGCAGAGAATGCTGCTGAATAGATAATCACCCAGTCATATTATGAAAGGAAATAATAATATTAACCAAAAGACACACAATACAATACTAACACCTTTAAATGATTTTTAAAATATACCAGAAAATACAAGAGGAATTATAAACACAGGATGTAAAAAGACAGTATCAAAATGTTTTATATACAGTATTATACCTAGATCCTGTGATGTTTAAGCTTATCAACTTGGCTGGTGTGGAGCTGCTTAGAGGACATTAAAGTACACTTTTGGGTGTGTCTGGGTGGGTCACAGAGGTGTGCCCCTGGGTTCTATAAGTAGTCCCTGGACCTGTCCTCTCTAGCACTGCTCCCCTGTGCTGTTTCTTGGCTGCAATGAGCGAAGCAGCTTTGCTTTGACATGACCTTTTGTCATATTCTACCTGGGAGCTAGCCAGCCGACCACAGGCTCGGGATCGACTGATAAACCGGAAGAGAGCAGAGAGGTCAAGGACAGGAGCGTTAGCAGAGCCCTCAGTTTCTCGCCTGTGTACTAGCTCAATGTTCTTGCCTGTTCCTAAGCAGGCAACACTAGAAGAGGCGAGGCGGCGGGGGAGGGGGGGCAGTGCACAGGGAGTTCAGTTTGGAACCAAAGGTCGTTAACTTTTCTATTAAATATGTAGGATAGATGGATGAGCAAACTGGTATAGGAAGAAAAAGAGTGAGCATTTGTACAAATTTCTAGTAAGTTCTGAAGTTCAGAGTTGAGGTAAGTAACTTTATGTAACTGTCTCTGATATCTGAGTCTAGTCTTTCAGACCTCTTTAGCATACTACCAACTTCATCCTACAAACCTAGATAACAGACAGCCACAAAAGATGACAAGGATTGGGAACCTCTACTTTTACTCCTTTTCTGGCTAGCTTTCTTGAGGGAAACAGAAATTGCTGATTCACCTAGATGTTTAGAAGTGGAAGTGTTTCACTTGAATAGGCTAAAAGAGCCTACCATGTTCCTTCATACAGGTGAGTGCGTGAATGGGGTTGGGGGTGCAAGGGAAGGTTCCAATTTTTTTCTCACAAATACTTCCAATTCCTCATTTGTCCTGTAATGAGTTAGTATCACAAGAGGTAATATGGCTAGAATAACATATGCACTTCATTTCTAAATTTTTACATTTCTAAAGTTTTACATCGCTTTTACTCTGAACAGCTAACATCCTAATGCAGTGGTGGCAAACTAATGGCATGCATGGTGCAGGGGGCTGTTTATACCACTGAAAGCTCTGAAAGGTTCACCATCACTGCCCTAATGCAAGGAATAATGTTGATGAAGATGGATGAGTGAAGATTCAAGCCACCAGACTGGAATAAAGCAGAGCTCTCCATGAGGCAAACCTAGAGGTTTACAAGTGATGTGGTGACACATTTTGTCACCATACAGCCAAGTCTCCTGTTCCAAGGACATGTTATAAAAGAGTACTGGATAAGTTATGCAGGTACCTGAGACAATACATGTTCAGTGTTTAGCTCAGTGCTGGCAGATAACACACACTAAACAAATGTTACTCAGTGGGGCTTCTAGGTAAAAATATAAGTGCTACGTTAGCATGAACTACAAAAACTAGAGTCTGAAAGAAGGAAAAACTGTGTGGATTTTTTTTAAAAATCTGATTGAAAAAGGAGGAAAAAGGCATTCTATCTTTTGAACAAGTAAAAAGTTAGTTTCCTTAAAATTTTGCTTAAAATGTACTTGGCAAAATGTACTGCAAAATGTGATATTTGCTGTCACGAACCATTTTGGTAGGTACATAGTCACTGTACTATACTTCAACATTAAGGCAAAAACAATCAGATTTAATGGTCAAAAAAGAGAAAAAGAATATACTCACTTGTCAGCTGAGCTCTGGATAATTTTTCACTACAACTATAAGCATCATTGTTTTCCTGCAGCTTTAGCCATTCCTGGGCTTGGAACAGGTAGAGTTTAGCTTCTTTTTCAGTAGCGACTGCTTTGTTGTTGATTCGGACACATAGAAGAGCATGGTCACCTTGACATCAAAACAAAAATTATCAACTAGTTTGGTTTTATATGGTGCTGAGAAGGTAGGACAATTCAATACCTACTGGTCAAAATGGGTATTTATAAAACACAATTTTCTTAAATCACACTTAACTAGGTCAACCACAATAGAATGAATATTGCATTCAGTTGCAAGACATTATTCATATTAACATGTGATACATCCTTATAATTCAGCTGTCAACTGCTAACATTCCACTGAATAACAGAAACATCTGGGATATTTGGACATTCACTGTAACAGAATTTTTGTCTCATTTTGCAACCACTCCACACATCTTTTCCATTTTTTTCATTAACTGTAGACTTTTCCTCACAGTTTGTTTTTAATAACATGACTATTAATATTTAACTATGCTTTTAATCAGACATGTACCTAATAGCAAGAAAGATTAAATGTTTTGGGGGATACACATTTTACACCTGAAACAAAGTTTTACAAAAGAACTTTCAGACCAATATATGTTATGTGATTAACCTCTGAATAATGTACCCCAGTGTAACGCAAGCAGTGTGTTTGCTTATTATGTACTAATAATGCTGAGCTGGGCAGGTGTCATTTCAACCATAGTTGATTCTTGTATTGAACAAACTTGATAAAGTTATCTTTTTCATATTTCCTGTCATATTATCTTATAAAAATCAAAGAAAAATATGCAATTTTGGGTCATCCTGTATTTAAATAAATGGACTGGTAACTGGTTGATACAGAATGAGCTTGGTTGTACAAATCAACTACAGTTAAGACTTAGAACAGAAATGGCAAAAGGTAATTGCCTCTAGGGAAAGGGACTCTGGGTGAGGAGAGATGAAACAAGAAAGTGTTCTTCATTTTAGCTTGTATATTCTCATTTCTTTTTTAAATTTTAGTTACAAGAGTTATCACTGGTTACATTACATATTATCAACAGTCTTAAAAGTGACCCTGTGGTCTTAATACTTTATACTGAATTCAGATTTACAGTTCATTATTTCTGTATAATTTCACTATTACTGTACTGAACTAGAATTCACTAAAATTGGTAATAATTCAGCATATATTGGAATATAATTATGTATCTCATATATAGAGTCCACCAAAAAATATATACACACTTCAGCAGTTCATTGTACTGATGTCTGGAAGCTAATGGCCACCACTTTGAGCACCTCTTGTAATTGTAGAGGCCAAAGATAATTTGTACTAATCTCATGGTGTCTCAATAAATTTGGTATTAAAATATTTATACAAGTTTTTCTTTTTCTAAAATTTACATTTTTTGGCAGACTCTGTATATATGAGAGAAAATATACTTGGAACAGCCTATCCGCAGTCTTGCCTTGAGAAATCTGGATTTAGTACCTGTTTCTCCTCTGTTTCCCAAGTAATTATCATGAACTATCAGAGTTGTCTAAGTCTCTACTGGTCATGAGGAATAATCCATGTCATAACTTCCACATATCCTAGATTCTCCAGCACTGTTCAGACTAAGCCACTTATGACAGTGACATTACTATCACTGTCAAAGTTACAATGAGTTAAGAAACTGAAATTGGGACAAAAATAACAAAACTATTTCAAGGGTTCCTTCATTTAACCAATCCACATTGGATTTTGGAAAACTAGGTTTCATTTTTTTTTTCTTAGTTTTAAAAACTAAACTTTAAAAAAATCCTTTCCCCTCCCTTTACACTACCAATTCTGTAATTTCCCATTACTTTAAGTTCCTTTCCCACACCAAGACAGTTCCTCATTTCTATGATCTTTTAAGAATCCATTCTAGGAAAGAAAGTCTGACCTTCACACTTACACCTTATTTTCATGCAATTAAAGACTATATAAATCAAAAATCCTAACTACATCATGGAAAACAATCATTTGAAATACAGTACTAGTCAAAGGGTGTCAAGAAGAACACTGAAATAAAAGAGGCAAAATTTAAAATGAATTGCAAAGTCACTCAGGGAGAGCAAGAAGGTACAAATCAGATGTAGCTCAAAACAAAGACTACCTTGCATGCATTTCTATTGATTTAATTTTAGGTGTCATAATCCAGAGTAAAACTACCACGCTAGAACCCAAAAAATCGAAACATTCTGCCAATAATGGCAGTGTGATCACAACCACCCTGCTCCTAGTAGGTTTCATCAAACGAGCGTAAAAATGGAAGAGCAAATCTAAGTTCGTGGGCTTCCACCCACACGCTAACCAGAGTGTCTGAATGTTTACAATCTGGTGGAGTCAGGAATGGCAAAGGATGCTTCTTCTGAGACGACTCGAAAGCTGCAAAAGACCGGTGTCTCAGGTATTCGTGCGCTCGGAGAAGGCTGGGGAAACTGAAACTGCTTTTCAGGTGCACAAGTCCTGAGGAGCGGGGAGGCCAGGCGAGGCCGCCCGACGTGGCAGGGAGGGGCTGGACACCGCCGGCCCGACCCACCGGAGGAAGGCGGGGAGCAGGGACCCGAGGG